CCACCTGAAAAAAGACTGCCCGAGGCTTAAGCAGGGGAAGAAGAACGACGGAGAAGGGTCGGGAAAAGATACGAGTCAGTAGCAGACGGGCCACCTACTGACGAGACCCTGTCGCCCGACAATCACCATCCACACTGGGTCGTGGTACCGATCAGCGCTATCGGCCAGAACCGGACGAATAACGTGGGTGAACACGTGGACTACCCTGTGTTGGTGGTAGGGAGGGTTAACGGTTATAAAATTAAACTCTTCGTTGACGGTGGGGCGAGCCACAGTCTCGTCAACCTGGCAACGGCCAAAAAAATGGGGGTGAAGCTGACCAGGTGTCTACCAGAGATCGATGCAAGGTTGGTGGACGGAACATCGCTGGCCATCCGAGATGAGGCGCGAAAAAATCGGATACAGTGCGGCGACAAATTCGGGTTTCGCATGAGAATGTTGGCGACGACGTTGGACGGCTGCGATGTGCTGCTGGGGAGGGATTGGCTACAGCGCTTCAATCCGACGATCGACTGGACGACTGGGGCGTGCGTCGTGCGAGGATATGGAGGGAAGACGACGCTTCCGAAATGGACGGAGCCGGAGCCGGTGACGACACGTGTCAACGCGATCAACATGCAACGTGCGATGAACAGCGGAGCTCAGGCCTTCTTAGTGCACCTGTACGAAGTGGCAGCTTCCGAAAAAATCGCGGACATCGACACCCTCTGCGCGGCAATCCCCGAGGAACTGGCGAGCATTATTCGGAAGTATCCCGAAATTTTCGCGGATGACCTCCCGAATGGTTTGCCCCCCCAACGACCTAAGGATCATCGGATCCAGCTGGAGCCTGGCGCGCAACCGACTGTGCGGACACAGTGGCGGCTCAGTCAACCAGAACTCGCCGAGTTGCGGGCCCAGCTGGATTACCTACTCGCCAAAGGATTTATCCAGCCCAGCACGTCGCCGTATGCAGCACCAATACTGTTCACGCCGAAGAAGGACGGTGGCCTATGCATGTGCATCGATTATCGGGCGCTGAATCGGGTCACGATAAAGTCGCGTTACCCGATCCCGCGAACCGACGATCTGCTGGATCAACTTCGCGGAGCTTGGTATTTTTCGAAAATCGACCTGCGAGGAGGCTACCACCAAATTCGCGTATTCGCCGACGACTGCCCGAAGACCGCTTTCCGCAAACGCTACGGTAGTTACGAGTTCACAGTGATGTCGTTCGGCCTGACAAACGCGCCCTCGACGTTCCAGCTCACCATGAATGGAATTTTTCGGGACATGCTGGACAAGAAGGTCATCGTGTACCTGGACGATATCCTGGTGTACAGCGCGACAAAAGAGGACCATCTGCGGGATTTAGAGGAGGTGTTCCGGCGTTTACAGGGGCATCGGCTAATCACAAAGGGGTCTAAGTGTGAGTTCCTGAAGCCGGAATTAGAGTTTCTGGGGCATGTGGTTTCCGGCGAAGGGATTAAAATCGACCCGCGCAAGGTGGACGCCATCGTTAAGTGGAAGCCGCCTACTAATATCCCTGAGTTGAAAAGTTTTCTGGGGTTTGTTAACTACGTTCGTCGTTTTGTACCCAATATGGCAGAGATAACCAAGCCGCTGACCGACCTGCTGCACCACGACAGTGATTTCAGGTGGGGGGAGAGGGAGCAATCCGCCTTCGACGCTCTCAAAAACATTTTGGGTTCACCCCCGGTTCTCCGCCTCGCCGATCCATCCCGACCATTCGAAGTCGTCACGGACGCCAGCGATTTCGCCGTCGGCGCTGTCCTGCTACAGGACTTCGGCCAAGGGCTGCAACCCATCGCCTACGAGTCACGCAAGATGCAACCACCTGAGCGCAACTACCCAGTCCACGACAAAGAAATGCTGGCCATCGTCCATGCATTCCGCGTTTGGCGCTGCTACCTCACAGGAGCCGACGTGACGATTCGGACTGATCATAAATCGCTACAGTACATGCGCACGCAACCGACACTCAACCCGCGACAAATCCGGTGGTTGGACTTCCTCGAATCCAATTTCCGGTACACCATCCCGTACAAAAAGGGCGCCAACAACATCGCCGACGCCCTTACCCGACCATCCATGCAAAACGCGGCGGTACTAATCGCCCACACCAACGCGATGCTAACAGGACTATTCACCCACGGCTATAAGATCTACAGGTTTTTCCGGAACCCGCAACAACAGGCTGCTACACCGCACGGCAAATACTACCTAAAAGCCGGTACGAACCGGATTTGGGTACCAGCATACCAGCCTTTACGGGAGCTGCTGACGCAGGAGGTTCACGACTCCAACCTCTCCGGGCATTTCGGCACCGACAAGACACTGAAGCTGATGCAGCGGAATTACTTCTGGCCGGACATGCAAACCGATGTGCAGCGCTACGTGTCAACTTGCCCGACCTGCCAAGCAATGAAGTCGTCGCGACAAAGGCCAGCCGGTCTGCTGCAACCCCTCGCGCCACCCGAACGACCGTGGCAACAGGTGACGATGGATTTCGTCACGGGGCTCCCAGCTGGCACGAGTGGCAACGACTCGGTATTGGTCGTCGTCGATCGCCTAACGAAGATGGCGCATTTCGCCCCATGCCGAACGACGATCACAGCCGAAGATACAGCCAAACTGTTCATCTCCACCATCGTACGCCTACACGGGTTACCTTCGGCGATCATCAGCGATCGTGATCTGAAATTTACGTCGAAGTTATGGCAGGAAACGTGGGCACAGTACGGTACCCGCCTGCAGTTTTCGTCGTCATACCACCCGCAAACCGACGGACAGACGGAACGGACAAATCAGACCATGGAACAGCTGATTCGCACCAACTGCCCCGACATTAGCAAGTGGGAAGATTCGTTACCGATGCTGGAATTCGCGTACAACAACGCCCCGTCGGCCACGACTAAACAATCACCTTTCTTCCTGAATTACGGGATAGATCCCGTGGTACCCTCTTCAACGACTGTGGACAACCCGGTACCAAGATCGCAGCAGTTTGTCACGGAACTGCAAACCGCCCGAACAAAAGCAGCCGATTTCATTCGCAAAGCTAATACCACGGCCAGTCGCCAGGCGGATAAACACCGACGAAACTTACCCTTCCGCACAGGGCAGGTTGTGCTTCTGGACACCAAGAACCTTCGGCTGCCGCAACCCGCGAAATCACGGCCCCGATACGTGGGACCATTCCGTATCATCCAGATGGTGACACCAGTCACCGCGAAGCTGCTGCTGCCCGACAATTGGAAAATCCATGACGCCTTCCACGTCAGCCTGTTGCGTCATTACGACCAGCCGCAGTCGCCAGCTGTTGCTCGCCCAACCATCGCGCCGACCACTCGCCCCGTGGCAGAGCCAACGCTAGAACCTTGGAGGATTCTTAACCATCGCGTGGATGTGACTGCTACCGGCCGCTCGGTGAAATTCCTGCTTCGCTGGAAAGACCGCACGAGCGAGGACGACACGTATGTCGTTGCTGATTCGCTATTGGGACACCCGGTTTTGGACGCTTACCTGGCCCGCCGTGGTGTTTCGGACATTCACCACCTTTCTTAAAGGGGGGGGTAGTGTAAGGAATTTTCCGGATTCCTTACTGGGTCACACTCTACGCGTACAACTCCGACTTTCGGAAAACCAGGCTCGGCCCGCCGACCTCGCCTTCCGAGCCACCAACGCGTCGTTTTCGGGTTTCCAACCCCGAACCTACACCCAACCATCTCGCGACCCCGCGACCTCGGCCTAGCTAACCTTGCTATATTATGCCTAGGCCTCGTTGTTCATGCAGACGTTGTAATCACTTCCGCATTATTGAGTTCTGCGCACTCTTTCCTTTCACAACTTATAACACGTTGCTTCTTCTGCTTCGAGTTCGCAAACAGCCAAACTCAAGCCTATGGATTCTTTGACCTATCAGAAAGGTGAAAGCGTCATGTACACGTCAGCCCCCTAGCCACCGACGACCTACACGAAAAAGTATCGCCCCTGGCTGTTTGCGCATGCTGGGGTGGGGGAATGATTTCCAGGTCCAGCCCGGATCCCCAACTCCAGCTTTCATGATCATCTTTCACTTCATCTCGGCCTGGCCGAGCCAAATCCAGTGGTATGGACGTCACACTGAATCCACTGGCCCGAATCCCTGTGACAGCTGGCCACACCCGAACCAAGTCCTGACGTGCGCCCCAAGCCCGTGATGTCCGCTCGGATTCGTGCGCCAGCCAGACCTAGAGATCACCGCAGACCACAACTGTGCGGAAGGCAGCTGCGCGGTGGGACGGCGGTGGGTCTGTGAGTGATGCGAGGCTATGGCTGCTGAGCTGAGACGAGAGCAGCCCATAGAATTAGTGGACTTGATTCCCTACAATAAGCTCATCACTCTCAAGCAATAAGCTGAGACACTACTATAATTCTCCTGGCGACTTGCTTCGGTTCCGTTCAGTCATCCCGTCTCGAGCACCTCTTCGCCTAGCTGCGTATAGTATATATAGTACGTTGGGCGTGAAGTTTGATAGTCAAGCAGCTATTCTTATTGTGAACGTTAGAAGCTCTCTCTCGTTGCCATTCGACTACGCTCTGATTCCGCACCGGGTCGTTCTGTCACTACCATCATCATGTTTGTTGGTAGAGATGGCGGAGAAGCACAGGCATCCACGTCATCGGTCGTGGTTGCTGACGCCAACATGGCGGTGCTGGCAACAGCACAGACCGTAGGCCCTTCCACGTCAGCATCCCCAATTGTAACCGTGTCGGCTCCAGGCTCATCACCCAATGACTCGAACCCGTATATAGCCGCAAAATCTAATCATGTGACGTCTTCCAATCAAGTGACGACATCTGTAACTCCGCGAACCAACACCCACCAGGGCCTTCGACACTGCCAGCAGCATGGAGCAGCGTCATCGCATCCTAACCATCCATCCACACAGCTGCCACCACATCGACGGCTAGGAAGAATTGCGCGTAGTTTATCATCTAAAGTCGACGGAGGTGCTATGATCGGTTCGTTGCTTCGAACCGCGATGGCGGGAATCTCGCTCAAGCGGGTGTTCTACACCGTCCTCGTTATAGGATTCGTCGTTGTGGGCCTTGTCGCAATCAACGTCGAACAGGTACGGGTCGCTTCGCCGAGTTGTTGTGTTGATTGAGCTTTTCATATGTTTGATTCAAATTATCTACAGTATGCTTAGCGATGGCAACGGCCCATCAAGAAATGTGTAGCTAACCGTTGCGGGGTATTCTTATTGGTTCAGCGGCGCGGTGCATAGTAAGGATGGACGAACAATTCTCTCCTCGTCATGCCTCCCGCCCATCGCCCTACCTCTCCCCTCCGTCTCCCAGCTGCTCAAGAGCTTTCTCCTGTGGCTCAAGAACGACGTGGGCGTGTGGGGTCCCGTCATCATGTACGTGCCGCTACTCCCTACATCTCCTCCTGACGATGTCGTCGTAACAGTTTTCGCTCGTACCAATCCCCCTCGTAACAATCTCTCTTTGTAACAATTTCTCTACGAAATGCCGTTGCTGAGTCTTTAAAATTCACCCGTCGTTCTCTCTGTGAACGCAAATTATTTGTGAATTGCGTACCGTTGCTCTCACGGGCCGCTAAGCTCTGGTTCTTTCCTTCCCCGCCTCCCCATTCCCTCCCCTCTGTCAGGGCCCTCGCTTATATACCACTCAATATCCTCGCACTTCCAGGCGCTATCCTCACTGTAAGCAACTGCCATACACGAGATGAATGAACTTCCAATTGTTAGTGAGAGCAGACCACTCTTCGTTATAATACGAACGCCATGTATCTTAACGCAACACGGACGTGCTCTAAACGTGCGTCGTACCGCATTCCTCTTCTCTTCCGCCTTCCGCTTCATCTGTACCCTTTCTCTTTCTCCACTCCCCCCTTACTGTCCCGTCTGTCCCCTCATTTGCCCCCCCTGTCCCTCCTCTACCCCATCCTCTCCCCTCACCGCTGGTTGCGCGCAGCTGGGCGGGGGGTACGTGTTCGGGCTGCTCGTGGGCTTCGTGGCGGACTCGCTCGGCTCCACGGCCGGCGCCACCGCCGCCTTCCTCGTTGGCAAAACCGTGCGTCTCGCGCTGCCCCCCCCTTGCCCGTTTCCCCCCCCCCCTTGCCCGCTGCCCCCCCCCTTGCCCGCTGCCCCCCCCCTTGCCCGTTCCCCCCCCCACCTTGCCCGCTGCCCCCCCCCCCCTTGCCCGTCCCCCCCCCCTTGCCCGCTGCCCCCCCCCCCCCCCCCCCCCCCCCCCCCCTTGCCCGTTCCCCCCCCCTTGCCCGCCGCCCATGCTTTGCTTCAACAAGCCCTCCCTTGTTTCCACGGCGGGCGCCACCGCCGCCTTCCTCGTCGGCAAAACCGTGCGTCCCGCGCTGCCGGTACTTGCTGACATCCCATCCCCGCCGCCTATCGTTGTTCAGAATCGATTGTTCCCACAGCCCCTCTCTAGCTTCCACGGCCCTCTCTCTTGCGTCCGTGCTTCCTCCATGTCTACCTCGCCCGTAGCCGGCTCGTTTGGCAACACCCGTGTCTCGCCAGCCCACCACTTCCCCACACCCATCCTATGCTTCACGCCCCACCCGTTCCCGACACTCCACCCGTTCCCGCTAACCCTCCCATGCCCGCCCGCCCGCCCACGGCCTCGTGCGGTGCAGATCGGGCGCTCATACGTGTCGGCGAAGCTCAAGGAGTACCCGCAGTTCCAACCAGTCGCGCACGCCATCTCCAAATCCGGTTTCAAGGTCACACTCGTCTCCCTGCACTTCCTTCCCAATAACTGCTTTTCTCTCCGTCCTTCACCCCATCTCTTTCTCCCTCGTCTCCCTCCCACATCTCCTCCCTCCTCCATCGCTTAATCCCACTTCCCCACTCATCCCCTACCCCACACACCTCTGCTTTTCTGCCACCTGAATATCGAGTTTCTCGGCCTCCTCTCTCCCTATTTCCTGCAAACTATCTCGCCCCCTATAATCCGCTCCCTCCCCCCTTCACGCTCCCCCGCCCCCTCATGCTCCCCCGCCCCCTCATTCTCCCCCGCTCCCTCATTCTCCCCCGCTCCCTCATGCTCCCCCGCCCCCTCATTCTCCCCCGCCCCCTCATTCTCCCCCGCCCCCTCATTCTCCCCCCGCCCCCTCATTCTCCCCCGCTCCCTCATGCTCCCCCGCCCCCTCATGCTCCCCCGCCCCCTCATTCTCCCCCGCTCCCTCATGCTCCCCCGCCCCCTCATGCTCCCCCGCCCCCTCATTCTCCCCCGCTCCCTCATGCTCCCCCTCCTCATCACGCTCCCCCGCCTCCCTCATTTCCCCCGCGCCTGGCAACATCACATATCGTGCTGTTTCTGCGGCTGGTGCCCATCCTGCCCGTCAACGTGATGAATTACGTGCTCTCCATGACGGCACATCCCCTCTCTTTCTCTAAGCCCGTTCTGCATCTGCTCCCGCGCCCCCTCATCCTCCCGCGCCCCCTCATCCTCCCGCGCCCCCTCATCCTCCCTCGCCCCCTCATTCTCCCCGTCTCGTCCCCCTCACAGATCGTGCTGCTGCTGCGGCTGGTGCCCATCCTGCCATTCAACGTGATGAACTATGTGCTCTCCGTCACGCCCATCAGCCTCTCCTCCTACGTCCTCGCCTCCTGGATCGGCATGATGGTTAGTGCTGGGCGTGGCAAGGCATGCAGGCATGATGGTCATTGGTGGGTGCGTGGGGGGTGATGATGACTACTGGGCATGAGAATCAGGCATGAGGATCAGTGTCTATCCCTTGCCTCTCCCCTCCCCTCCCTTGCCTCTCCCCTCCCCTCCCTTGCCTCTCCGCCTCCCCTCTCTTGCCTCTCCCGCTCCCCTCCCTTGCCTCTCCGCCTCCCCTCCCTTGCCTCTCCCGCTCCCCTCCCTTGCCTCTCCGCCTCCCCTCCCTTGCCTCTCCCGCTCCCCTCCCTTGCCTCTCCCGCTCCCCTCCCTTGCCTCTCCCTCTCCCCTCCCTTGCCTCCTCTGCCTTCCTCCTTCAACCCCCACAGCCCATCACCTTCACCTTCGTGTATCCGAGCACCACCATCAAAGTCGTATTCTCCCTTGTCTCTCCTCCCCTCCCCGCCCTTGGCTCGGCAGCCCATCACCTTCACCTTCGTGTATCTGGGCACCACCATTAAAGACATTTCGGAAATCGGCTCCCCGGGAGCTGCTGGGGCATCGCAATGGGTCAGTGCGCTTACAGGGTGTTAGCGCTTATAGGAGGGGTGGTGCTTATGGGAGGATGGTGATTATGGGGGGTTGGTGCTTATGGGGGATTGTGCTTACGGGGGATTGTGCTTACGGGGGGGTGGTGCGTATCCGTGAGGGGTGTGCGTGTGCACGGCCATGTGTGCGTGTGCACGGCCATGTGTGCATGTGCACGGCCATGTGGTGCGCTGCTGTTCTGAGACGCACCTGTACTATCCCACCATCTACCCCCAAGTCTTGCTGCATGTGGCATCTAGCCCCATTTTCCCTTACCTGTGCCTGCAACTCACTCTCCCCCGTATGCCCCCCTTCCCTGCCTCCCCCCTTCCCTGCCTCTACCCCCTTCCCTACCTCCCTTTTTCTCTCTCCTTTTGTCCCTCTGTGATGGTGCATCTGCAGTGGATGCTTGGGGCCGGCCTTGCTGTCACAAGTGAGTGATCACACTGCATCTCCGTGTTCCTCGCAATCCCCCTGTCCCTTACATCAACTCACACTACTACCTTGCTACCCTCACACATCATGTCTTGCCACCTTCATCGCTTGCAAGAACCCTAGCACCCATCCATCCACCCCACATGCCATCTGCTCCTTTTCCCACTGATCCCACCGCACTCCCTTCCCTCTTGAAGCGGCCCAACTCAACAATCCTTTTCCCTAGAACAAGGGACCACTATCACCTGCCTTCCACTCATGCCAGCCCTGCTATCCCTACTCCTCCCTCTGCCTGCTGCAGTCGTGGCGACTGTGCTTATAACGAGGATAGCAAAAGACGCCCTGCAGAGGGCGATAGAGGAGAACCAGCAGCAGCACTGCGGCCTGCTCTCGCCCCCCGCCTCTTGCTCCTCCACCCCCACCGCCCTCACTCCCCACACAAACAACACGTACCATGTCCCCTCTCCGCACTCCATGGAAGCTTGTTCTAGCAGCAGCAGCAGTTGCTCGAGCAGCAGTGCAGTCAGCAGCAACACCAGTAGCAGTAGCACCACCAGCAGCAGTAGCAGCAGCATGGGCTCAGACAGCCGATCTGCCGTTCTCACCATCCCTGATGGTATCCACCACCCCTCTGTGGGCTCCCTGCTCTCAACACACACCTCATCCTCACACTACGCTCCTCACGCGGCCTCCTTCCCTTTCCAAAAACCACCTGAGCAACCACCTGAGCAGGCACCTGAGCGAGCACCTGGGTGCATGGATCACACGGGGTCAGCTGTGTGTGCCATCACTGTAGACGACACGAACAAGCATCGGGAGGGTGGGGCGAATAGACTAAGGGTGGAAGGGGGAAAGCGACAATCAACACTACCCAGTAGCTATGCTGCATGAACACGAAGGATTGTAGGGGGAGTCATAGGCATGGTGATGCACAGATGAGTTTGGGGTGTTAGTGTTGGCTGTGCCTGTGATGCCTTAGACCACAGCTGCTGCTGCACTGGTGCTATGCTTTATTGGCAGAAGATGCACAACTGGTGAGATGTGCTGGAGAGGAAAAGGGTCATACATCTCTGCATGCATCCAATACATATACGGTATGCACAGTCCGGTTGAGATAGGTTTAGAGGATCTTACTCGCCACTCCAGCTGTCCTGTTGCTTACATCCAATATATACATCCAATATAAGAACAGCCATTAACTCCTGGCTCCTTCCCTGCGCAGTTTTTCTTGCATGCCGTATATTTTGCACGATTTTGTGCTTCCAGTGCTACCGTAGCAACCAAAGGCAGGGCTATTTCGGATTTTCCGACTACTGCTGCTGTTCGCAAACCAATGCAAGAGATGACGATGATACATGGTACGGTTGTACACACAATGTGATGCGAGAGAGTAAGGCCTACATGATAACTGAGGGTTCTGGTCTGGAATCAATTAGCAAGAGGGGGCAATTGTGGCCTAACCTACCTACAACGTACCTACAACGTACCTACAACACAGCATACACACCTGACCCTCCACTCCCTTCAACAGGGCTTCAACACCCTCCCTCCCAATTCCTCCTCCACTCATCATTGCCCCTCCACTCATCACCCCTCCTCCACTCATCTCCCCTCAACCTCCTTCACACTCAAGAGGCTCTGAAGGCTGTGACCAGCCGTCTTCCCGCCTGCTGGCTGCATCACTGCACTATCCCCACCGCCCTCCCCTCCCGCCATCTCCCCTTCACTCATGCCCAGTGCAGACGCCACAGACATCATCAGCTTTGATCTCGTACTCGAGCCAGCCGCCCCACTCTTACCCGATGCCATGCTCACACCCGATACCTCGCTGATACCACTCACCGGGGCCTTACTCATCACACCGCTCTGCACCGTGCTGTTAAACGACGAATGCATCACCCCGGAAGATGGGAAGCTCATTCCCGATCCAACGGCTGAGCTCGTGCCAGCCTGGCTCCTCAGCCCCGCATCGCTCGCGCTGCTGCTCAACCCAGAAACAATCCCACCAAGGTCATTCTCGCCCTCATACTCCTCCGTGTAGGTTTGCAGCAGGTGATCCAGCCGCCTCACCACGTCCTTCATCTCAGGCCGCCGCGACCCGGGCGCCTTGATGCAGTCAAGGGCCAGGTCAGCCCACTCCACAATGGCCTCCTCGGGAATCTCCAGCGACTTGTCCCTCAGATCGTCCAGCGTGTATTCTGCCACCATCTTGCTCGCCTGGGGATGGGCAGGAGGGGAAGAGGGGGAGCGGGAGGAGGGGGGGGCTGAGTTTTGAGGTGGCTCAGTACAGGTCAGCCCACTCCAATATAGCCTCCTCGGGAATCTCTAGCGACTTCTCCCTCGGGTCGTACAGCGTGCATTCTGCCACCATCTTGCTCGCCTGAGGAGGGAACGGGGGAGGGGAAAGGACGAAAGGAAGCGAGGAGAGGGTAGCAGCATAAGAGAACGCAGACTAGAATATGCGCCATGAAGTCCTATGCTGATGTGTCAGTGGATGATTTGCTGAAATTTGATTCTCAGGAGTCTGCTGACGTGTCTCTCACCCATTTGCCGATGTGGGAGCTGCCGCCCATGGTGACCTTGCGCGCTGTCAGCATCTCCAGCAGCACCACCCCAAAACTGACACATGGCATGCGAGGGGTAAGAGGGTGTACACGGACGAGGGCGTTGAGGGGACACTGGATGCTATGATTGGGGTCGATTGGGGTCGATTGGGGCATGGGGCATGGGGCATGGGGCATGGGGCATGGGGCATGGGCATGGGGCATGGGGCACGGGCAATGGGCATGGGGCATGGGGCATGGGCAATGGGCATGGGGCATGGGGCATGGGCAATGGGCATGGGGCATGGGGCATGGGCATGGGCACGGGGCATGGGCATGGGGCATGGGCATGGGGCATGGGCAATGGGCAATGGGCATGGGGCATGGGGCATGGGCAATGGGCATGGGGCATGGGGCATGGGCAATGGGCATGGGGCATGGGGCATGGGCATGGGCATGGGGCATGGGCATGGGGCATGGGCAATGGGCATGGGGCATGGGGCATGGGCATGGGGCATGGGCAATGGGCATGGGGTGCAAGGTGGAATTATGCAGGAGGATGCTGCAGTCCATTATGTAGTACAATAGCCCGGTGTGCCGTTTCAGTCGACTCGAAAATCACCTGCAAGCACCACTGTCAGCCGCCCACCTGCAACCACCATTATTAGCACCCACCCACCTGTACACATCGCTCTTGGTGGTGACCATCTGGGTGCGATTGTAATCCGGGTCCACATAGCCTGGTGTGCCCGCCACCCTGGTTGCGGTCTCATCCCCCACCTTGAGCGTCTTGAGCAGCCCAAAATCTGCGATCTTGGCCTGGGCGGGCGGGCAAGGGGCGCAGGAGGGTGGGGGAAAGCAAGGAGGGGAGTGCGGGGAAAGCAAGGAGGGGAGTGCGGGGAAAGCAAGGAGGGGAGTGCGGGGAAAGCAAGGAGGGGAGTGCGGGGAAAGCAAGGAGGGGAGTGCGGGGATGGTTGAAGCACTCTCATCCCCAGCCTTGAGCGTCTTGAGCAGCCCAGAATCTAATATATTTGCCTGAGAGGTTCGGGGGGCAAGGAGGAGAAAGTGAGGAGGGCAGGTGAGGTAGTTTAGAGCATCTTGACTTGAGCAGCCTGAAGTCTGCTATCGTTGCCTGTGAGGGGGTCGCAGGTGGGCAAGAGAGGGGAAGTGGGGAAAGTGAAGGGGGGGAGTGGGGAAAATGAGGGGATGTTAGGGGGTGCTCTCAAACCGCATCTTCAGCATCTTGAGGTTTGAGGCTCAGGGTGAGGTAGTAGTGGCATCGCAAGGCGACAAGCTCTAAGGCTAGCGGCAGGGCTAGGGCCCGGAGGATAGAGGCTCACTGTGAGGTGGTGGCATGGCAGGGCTAGGGCCCGGAGGATAGAGGCTCACTGTGAGGTTTTCCCCAACGAGGATGTTGGCTGGCTTGATGTCGCGGTGAATGATGGGATTCTCAAAGCCGTGCAGATATGCCAACCCCTCCGCTGCCCCCACCGCCAGCTTCAACCGCTGCCGCAGGTTCAACGGGCCTGGGCAGGGGATGTGGAAAGAGAGGGGGAGCGGGGAGGAGGGGGATGAAAGAGTGGGGGGAAGAGGTGGAGATGGAGAGATGGCTGGATGGCGAGCTTGAGTAAAAATGGCTGATGTTCACAGTGCGGGCGTTTCTGTTAGCAACTCTCGCTCTGTTAAATGAAATAGCCATGCTTGTTTCTGCAGATGTGGCACTCACGCTTGGGCTTGTGGATGGACACTCACGCTTGGGCTTGTGGATGTGGTACTGGAAGTCGCGGTGTGGCACGAACTCGTACACGAGGATCTGCTCCTGCTTGCCGCTCTCCACGTTCATGTCCAGACAGAACCCCAGCAGCCGCACCAGGTTCTTGTGGTTCAGACTCGCCATCGCCCGCACCTAGGAATCAAAGAACAAGCACGTGGGTTAGGGCACAAGCACTGCCAAACTGCTAGTACGGCAGCAGCAATGAGTACATAATCGCCACCTTCCAGGATCCGACAATGAAGGTAGGATATTTTTAGCTCAACACTTGGATACCAATTTGGCAGAGCGGGAAAGGGTGAGGGTGGGAGGGTCGGTGACGCCCTTGGATGTGATGTGGTGCGCTTGGTTCGCGCGCCGGGAGCTGGGAACACGACGCACACCCCATACTCGTTACAGGCATTCTCACCTCCATTTCAAAGTCGTTAGACATGAGCGTTTGCCTCTTGATGGCCCAGAGCTGCCCGGTGGCGGGGTTGACGCCCTTGTACACGACAGCAAAGCCCCCCTCGCCCAGCACGTTCCCCTCCGCCCAGTCGTTGGTGGCCTTGCGTATCGTGGCGATGGAGAACTCCTGACACACATCCAGGTCGTCCCATCGGCCTGGGGAGAGGAGAGGTTGGGAGGGCGGGGTGGGGAGGAGAGTGGGAAGCGCATGTGGGGGAAGGAAGGGAGCGTTAGAGGCGATTGAGAGGCGGACATGAGGGCTTTGTGCATCGTGGTTATGGAAAACTCCTGTCACACGTCCAGGTCATCCCACCGGCCTGAGAAAGGGCGGAGAGGGAGAGTGGGAAGGGAGAGAAGGAGGGAGTGTGATGAGGGGGAGCGGGGAGGGGAATGAGAAAAGGATGAGTGTTGAGCAGTGACATTGCAGAACTCTCCGAGTGCGAGCAACAGAAAAACTCGAACCTCAATCGAAAGCTTCAAACACGCATCCAGGTCATCCCAACTTCCTGGGAAGAAGAGAGCCTTCGGTTCGGAGGATGTGAGGAAACGGGGGAGTGGGACCTAGGAGTCGGGATAAATGGCAGTGATACAAAGCATGCAGCTTTCATTGAAATCACTTTTGAGAATTCTCAGAAGTGATTTCAATATAGTGATACAAAGCATGCAGCTTTTCCGTAGCGACATAGGGGCAAGTGACGTTCATAAGCCCAGCTGCATACAGCGTGGCAGTCGATACAAAGCATGCAAGAGCAGGCAGAAGGGCAGCACTCACGTCTCTTCTTCTTGCGGAGCATGATGACGAGCACCGCGGCAATGAGAGCAAGTCCCGTGAAGCACCCCACTGAGATGCCCACTATCGCCCCCGTTGACAGCGCTGCGGGGAGGGGTGAGAGGGAGGATGAGGGGAAGAGAGCGATGGGAAATGGGCCAATGGCCACCATGGGAGCGAGCCCCATGAAGCACCCCGCTGCGATGCCCACGATGGCCCTCGTGGATAGTGCTGTGAAGCGGGGAGGTGGGCGAGACAGACGGATGGGATGAGGAACGGAGAGAGGGTGGCAAATGAGATGCATTGCGTGGACAGGTGAGTCGTCTCACGCATAAGGAGAACTGTTGCAAACACGCAACCGAGAGGCACTCACAGGACTTGGTGGTCTGAATTGCACAGGAGGAGCCATTGCCATTGGCAGCAGGCACAGTGGAATACGGCGCATTGCAGCGGCACGTGAAGCCCTGCCCGCTGCTCCCCGGCTCAGGCAGCACGCAGTCCCCCACCCCGTTGCACACGCCACTCTCCGTGATGCTGCAAAACGCTGCACACTCCTCCGGCGCCCGCTGCGTCTCGTTCACGAGGCACCCCGCCTCGCCGCGCACTGCCAGACAGTTCTGCAGCAGACTCGCCTGCCCTTTCTCATACGCCACAGACACCCGATAGTCCTGCCGCCCGGAAGTTGAATCTGCCGCCACCACCCCGCCTGCGGTCGCCCCTATGGAGGCTATATCGTGGTAGTCAACGTCGCGAACGACGGGTGTCGGGCAGATCATGCTACCAGCGGCATACACAAAGGGCTCTCCGTAAAAGTAGTTGGACGCGAGGTTGAGCGCGGCGGGTTTGGGGTTCTGCGCTGTGGGCTGGTTGTTCATGCCCTTGAAGTCGCGGTTTATGGTGCCGTAGAACGAGTTGTTGCGCACGTCGCTGGTGGGGAGGGGGGGGAGAGGCGGGAGAGGCTTTGACGGGAATGAAAGGCTTGTGGAAACAAGGGTCACTCGGTCTGGTTGCGGTTTTTCATCCCCTTGAAGTTGCGGTTTATCTGCCGTAGAATGAGTTGTTGCACACGTCACTGGCGGGAGGAGTGGAAGGGAGCATGGTGTAGAGGAGTAGAGGAGAGAAGCATCAAGGAAACAGCAAGTTGAGGAGTAGAGGGCAGGGTCAGAGCATGATGGCCATTGCATGTGTCCAGGGGCCGTTGCACCTTGGGTATCAGCAAGGAATGAAGGGAATATGGGCCACGCAAAGGGGCAGCGCGCTCACAGGTAGTTGAGTCCGAGGAAGTCAAACATGCAGCACACTCACAGGTAGTTGAGTCCGAGGAAGTCAAACATGCAGCACACTCACAGGTAGTTGAGTCCGAGGAAGTCAAACATGCAGCACACTCACAGGTAGTTGAGTCCGAGGAAGTCAAACATGCAGCACACTCACAGGTAGTTGAGTCCGAGGAAGTCAAACATGCAGCACACTCACAGGTAGTTGAGTCCGAGGAAGTCAAACATGCAGCACACTCACAGGTAGTTGAGTCCGAGGAAGTCAAACATGCAGCACACTCACAGGTAGTTGAGTCTGAGGAAGTCAAACATGCAGCACACTCACAGGTAGTTGAGTCCGAGGAAGTCAAACATGCAGCACACTCACAGGTCGTTGAGTCCGAGGAAGTCAAACATGCAGCACACTCACAGGTAGTTGAGTCCGAGGAAGTCAAACATGCAGCACACTCACAGGTAGTTGAGTCCGAGGAAGTCAAACATGCAGCCCACTCACAGGTAGTTGAGTCCGAGGAAGTCAAACATGCAGCGCGCTCACAGGTAGTTGAGTCCGAGGAAGTCAAACATGCAGCGCGCTCACAGGTAGTTGAGTCCGAGGAAGTCAAACATGCAGCGCGCTCACAGGTAGTTGAGTCCGAGGAAGTCAAACATGCAGCACACTCACAGGTAGTTGAGTCCGAGGAAGTCAAACATGCAGCACACTCACAGGTAGTTGAGTCCGAGGAAGTCAAACATGCAGCACACTCACAGGTAGTTGAGTCCGAGGAAGTCAAACATGCAGCACACTCACAGGTAGTTGAGTCCGAGGAAGTCAAACATGTCGGAGTTGCGGCTGCACTCTTCTTTGCCTTGATTCTCCTGCTCTGTCTCTCCTTCGTTCCCTCTATTGCCTCAGCCACTCTGAAAGTGACGAGACTCTCACCTCAATGGTCCTCCCTGAGTGGGTGTCACCAAACGCAAGGCTAGAGGTAACCAGAATCCACTATACGAAAGGATAACAAACGGAAAGCATTGTGTGTGTGTGTGAGAGTGAACTTACCTGTCCCTGGCTCGAGCCGTGCATTTCTCAATGTGCGGCTCGGGCCTGGGTGGGTTTGTTCCCATTGGTCGCGAGGATTTCACCCCTTGGTGATCTCCTACCAACTCCGCGTCAATTTCCCAGCCCCCCACCTACTTATCCTTGAGGCTGCATACACCAAATACAACACATCACTACACCCGTCCTACACCTTAATCATACTGGCACCTTATATGCACAACCGTGCATATTCGGTGACAGCTGTCGGAGTTGCGGCTGCACTCTTCTTTGCCTTGATTCTCCTGCTCTGTCTCTCCTTCGTTCCCTCTATTGCCTCAGCCACTCTCTGCCCCCTCCTGTGCCCGTGCTCGAGCAGCTTGAGCGCGGGTCACAGGACCAGTACGCTGAGGCCCTGTTCCCCTTATCACTGCCGTGTTCGTCTGATGTTCCCGCAGCTGCGCCCCCGCGTCATTTTCCAAGACCAGCACTCCTGATGGGCGCACCTCCTTGACTTTCCAGCGCACTGTCCCCAATCCCACATCTAGGGTGTCCTGCTTGGCCTTCTTCAGATACACCTCCTGTCCTTCGCTGATGGCCCTTGCCGCTCGGCCCTCCCCCTTTTGCTGCCTTTGTTCATATCGCCTGGCATCTCTGAGCTGTGCGGTGCGCAGGTTCTCCAGCGCGGCTGGCATCATGTAACGCATGTACCGCGCCCTCACCTCGGACAGGGCTACCCAGTTCTTGATTGTGCCCGCTGTCACTGTGTCTGTCAGCACCCGTGGTGCCCCCACAGGCAGGATTGGGTCCCGTCCGTATAGAAGGCTGTATGGGGAATGATCCTTCAATGCTGCCTGCTTCCCGAATCTATACCCTGCTGCGATCCAGTCCAGCTCCTCATCCCAGTCCCTCTTCCGCTGCTCCCCATAGGCCCGGAGCCCTCGCTTGAAGGTCTGCACTGCTCGCTCAGTCAGCCCGTCGCTCTGCGGGTGGTAGCGAGAGGTCTTCCGATGGGTGATGCCCGACTCCGCCAGCAACTTCTTGAACTCCCCCTGGAACTCCGTTCCCTGGTCTGTAAGCACCTCCCCACATGCCCCAAACCTACACACGACCTGTGCCTTGAAAGCTGCTGCAATGTGCCTTGAGCTCTTGCTGGGGATGGCTCTCACCTCCAGCCACTTGCTCACATGCTCCACCATGAACACGATGTACTGGTTCCCACTCCTGCTTAGGGGCAGCTCCCCTGCTAGGTCTAAGGACCATCGGAACCCTAGCCCGCAGATTGGCAGTGAGTTCAGCTCTGCCTTGGCCTGCGTCAGGTTGGCTTTGCTCCTCTGACATGCCTCACACCCCTCTACCCACTCCTTCACCTGTCTGCGCATCCCTTCCCACCACCAGCCCGTCTTCAGCAGATGTACGGTCCTCTCATGTCCGAAGTGTCCCAGCTTAGTGTGTACCTCTTTGATTATTGCTTCACGGTCCTGTGGCGCTGGCACCAGCTTCCAACCGTCCTCTGTCTTGACCTGCAGCTGCTGCTGGTACCACCTGTAGTGGTGTCCTCGTGCTCTCACTCTGTCAGACACTGCCTCGTCTTCCTCTGTTTCTCCCCTCACCCACTTCATCGCCTTCTCATCCTGCCATATGTCCGCTGGCCCCTTACTCCCCTTGGCACCGACTTGTTCCACTTCTCTCGCCAGCATGATCAGGGTGTGCGCTGGCTCCTGCTCTGTCCCCTCCGTCCCCTGTGTTCCTTGTCCTGTTTCCAGCAGTGGTGGATTACGGGAGAGACCGTCTACGTGCTGCAGCGTCTTCCCCGGCCTGTGCCTGATCTGGAAATCATATTCCTGCAGCTTCACGGCCCACCTGGCGTTCCTTCCCGTCAGCCCTGGTGTGGTCATCAGCCACGTGAGGGGCTGATGATCAGTGACCAAGGTGAACTCGCGGCCCTGCAGGTACACCCTGAAGTGCCCAACTGCCCACACTGCCGCCAGTCCCTCCCCTATGTATGAGCTATACTGCGCCTCTGCGGGGTTGCAGCTCCTGCTGGCGTAGGCTACCACCTTCTCCACTCCCTCCACCCCCTGGCACAGTATTGCCCCCATCCCCTGGCTGCTCCAATCGGTGTAGAGGACGAAAGGTTGGTCTGCTGTTGGCAGCCGTAGCACTGTCGCCGTCTTTACGGCTGTCATGAGGTCTTGGAGTGCTACCCTCTGCTGCTCTCCCCACTCCCATGCCTTGTCCTCACGCAGTATCCCATTCAGCACCGCCGCCCTCTTACTGAAGTTAGGCACAAAGCGCCTGTAGTAGCTGAGGAAGCCCAAGACCGCGCGCAGCCCTGACTTGTCTCTAGGTTCCCTCAGCCTGTCCAGCACCTGTACCTTTGCTTGCCGGATCCCGATCTGTCCCCCTGTCACCTCATACCCCAGGTACTGCACCGTCCGTTCCCCCCACCTGCATTTGTTGGGATGGCATGTGAGCCCTGCCTCCTCTATTGCACTCAGGGTCCTCTCCACGTCCTCCAGATGCTGCTGCTCGGTCACGCTGAAGATGACTACATCATCGATGTAGCATGCTGCATGTTCAATTCCCCGCAGCACCGCGTCCATGACTCGTTGACACACCGCCGAGGCGTTCCGTAGGCCGAAGGGCATGTATAGCCACTCGTACAGCCCGTCTGGTCCGTGGAAGGCTGTCTTCTTCACATCTTCTTCCCTGATTTTTATTTGATTGAATCCCTGGCGCAGGTCCAGCGTCGTGAAGTACACCTCGTCGGCCATCTTGTCAAAGAGCTCCTCCGCCATCGGCATGGGGTACCTGTCCGGCACGGTGATCTTATTAAGATCTCTGTAATCGCCGCACATCCTGCGGCTCAGCACCTCTCCTGTCAAATCCTTCCTGGCTGCCACTACCGTCGGGGTCGCGTACTCTGACTCTGACCTTCTGATCAATCCAGCTTCCAGTAACTCCTTTATTTTCTCCCTGCAGATCGCCTCATCCCCAGGCGGCATCTTTCTTCGGCGGTGGAACACCGGCTCATCGCTGCTCAGCTTCAATGCCATCTCCTTGATCTTGCACTTCCCCAACTCCTGCAGGGTGAAAGCGAAGCCCCTCCTGTGCCTAACCAGCAGTGCCAGCATGGCTGCCTTCCCTCCCTCACTCATGCTCTCACCTATCTTCCACTCATGCTCTGCTTTCGGCAGGCAGGCCCATGCCCCCTGCCTCACCGTTGCTACTGTGTTCTCTCCCTCCTTCAGTCCCCAGCGCAGCACTGTCTCTCTCCACATCCGCTGCACCAACCACCTCATCACGTACCCATCCATTGCGTTCCCCATTGCCCGCCTCCGTTCCTGTTCAGTGACGCCAGGGGCTGCTGTAGCGTTCTCCTTGTACCCCATAGCCAGCTCCCTCGCCAGGGCCGTGGGCTCCTCCCACCTTCCCTTCCCGTGGTCGAGCACTAGTCCTGGGCCTGGCTGCTTCCCATCCATCTGGTACCCTGCTGCCCCCTCATATGACACTAGCGTAGGCAGTGCTTGCCTCTCCTGCCCCACTCGATTGCACGGATAATGTCGGCTATAGCTCTTCTTATACACTGGTGCTGGCGTTCGCCCAGGCTCCAGTATATCGCTCAGCTTCCGCCCCCC